AATAAGCACAGAGAGGTGACAGGGAGAGGAGCTTCTCACTGGAATGACTGGCAGGTTTGTTTCCAGCCTGAAAGCACTAATAGAGGATTTTGGCCTCAGTCCAGAAACAAAAAAATCACAGAAACTGGAAGCAGAAAATCCCATTAGCTTCTTGTTTACCCCTCTGTTTTAAGGGTCAAAGTTTCTTCTTTCTGGTCTATTATCCAGATACAGATAGTTCCCATTTTGGGGATTTTAGCTGTCTCAGAGATTCTATACTTTGAGAGACTTGCCATTTATTTATTTATCTTTTCATTTCCTTCTTTTTTCCATTTCATTCATTTTCTCCATTGTCTTCTTTCCTTCCTTCCCTAAACATTCTCTTTTCTTCTGGTTTCTTTACACTCTTCACAGTGTAAATCTTCGCAGATTCATGGTAAAGTCTGCCTGAATAATGGGGCCTACCAATTTACTTGCCTTCCAGCTTCCACATCCTATGAAAACAGCCAGTGCAGTGCTAGGTAATGGCATCTGCATGGGAATCTCTAGAGCATATGTCCTCTCCTCCTGCCCTTCAGCTGTATCTCAGTTGTATAATAGAGGGTCTGTGTAGGGCTTTGTTTCATCCTTGGTCTTATGAATAAAAGCACTACAAAAAGGAGCTCTGGCAAAGCCCCAGCACACTCTGAGATCCCTCTGCATTGTGAGCAACACAGTGTTTTGCAGACAAGCTGTAGGATAGCCAGGCTTTCAAATGAGAACATTGTTTTTCTGCCTACAAGTACAGGGAATAGGAAAATATCAGAATGGTGCTTGGATCTGAACTGAGGTATGGCCCTACACACTGCTCAGAAAACACACAGGAAAATTCCTCAGTATCTGGACATAGACCTTCATGTTGTTTATCAAACTTCAGGTCTGGGTTTCAACTGGAGAATGAGCTTTAAATTAATGGGATTCCTGCTAAAATATGCTTCTTTTTCCTTTCAGATACAATGATGGCACTGAAGGTCCGGGTTCTCTTCAGCTTCCTTTGCTGCATGATTTTTCTGCCTACAGATGGCTTCCCAGCAGATGCCGGTACGGAATTTCGCTCTGCTTTCTCTGTGGCCAGAACCAGCAGCATGGAAGGGAGCTCCGAGATGGTCATTACCTTTGACAAAGTGTATGTGAACATTGGCAATGACTTTGATCCCAAGTCTGGATTGTTCCGCTGTCGGATCCCTGGAGCCTACTACTTCTCCTTCACTGTTGGGAAATACCCAAAGAAGAATTTGTCGGTCATGCTGATGAGAAACAAGAATGAGGTGCAAGTGATTGTGTATGATGAACATCACCGCAAGGAACGGAAGGTAGCAAGTCAGAGCGCTATGCTGCAGCTTGACTACGGTGACACTGTTTGGCTGCGTTTACATGGAGACCCCAAGTATGCTCTTTACAGCAATGTGGGCCCCTATACAACTTTCAATGGCTACCTAATCTACCCAGACACTTCTGCCTTCTTCCAGAATGCTCTTAGCTCTCAAGAAGTGGGGCCACACCATCACACTATTCAGCAACTTCCCAGGGAGCAGAATGAAGTTTCACAGCCACACGTGTTATCTGATCAACCAAGCAGGGAGCAAGACCCCCGCTCTGCATTCTCTGTTGCCCGCTCACAGAGTCTCCTGGGCACAGATGACAAGCAAACCCAGCATGAGCCCATCACATTTGACACAGAGTTTGTGAACATTGGGAAAGATTTCAATTCCTCCACTGGCATCTTCTCATGCCGTATACCTGGTGCATACTATTTCTCCTTCACCATCGGCAAAATGCCCTTTAAGACTATGTCAGTGAAACTTATGAAGAACCACAATGAGGTGCAGGCCATGATCTATGATGACAACCACTCCAAGAGGCGCGAGATGCAGAGCCAGAGTATTATGCTGCCACTGCAATACGGGGACACTGTTTGGCTCTACAGCCACCAGCACGATGGCTATGGTGCCTACAGCAACCATGGCAAGTACATTACCTTCACAGGCTTCTTGATCTATTCAGAGGCTCAGCCAAAGCAGCTTCCAGGTGTCAGCTCAAATAATTAAGGGTCAAATAATTAATTACAGATGTGAAAGGAGCACAAGAAAAGCAAAGGTGCCATGAACTTGGGTATAGCTCCTCTTTAGTTATCGTCCTCTACTTTGAGCATGCTATCATGTGTCCAGTGCTTCCCTTATGCTGCACGCTTGTTCCCTCTCTGCAGGGTCACTGCTGTGTCTGCCATTCATCCACAGAGAGGTCTCTACAGTTTGTATGTGTGTGTCTTGTGTTAGTGTTTGATTTAAGCATAAAGCATGAGGTAGTTTTCTTGGGCAGGGGTGGGCCAATGTAGTGACATGCCAAGGATCAAAGAACCACTGCAGTAATGTTCCTGCAGATCCCCAACATCCGGAAAGCAAAGGATACGGTCACTGTCCTTGCATATCTGGGGAGGGAATAAATGTAATGAAAATGAATGTAATAAAAATACAAAATATGTAAAATTTTCTCAGATTGGAATTTGTTGTTACTTGTGTGCTTGTCACCAGCTGAGGTACCAGTTCAGGAGAGAAAGCAGCATGGTGACTGTACCAGCTGCAGTATGTGCTACTGAGCCAGTCTGCGTACACTCTTTTATCATCCGTGTGTGTGAAGTGTTGGTACCTCTCATGATATTAACACAAATGTCACAATATTTGGTGCTTTTCTTAATCTGACATCAATGGAGTCAAGAAGCTGTTTGAGAATCTCAGCTTGCATTTAATGAAAATAATACATTTAGACACAAACCAAGAAGTGGGCTTCTAGCTCTTGCAGTAAAGGATGAGGGCTCAAATCTATGAATGGAGCATCCTCTGAAAGCTCAGAAACAAGGTAAGTAAGAAGAAAAAAATATGTATCTTTAAATCCCTTCATATATGGGTCAGAAGCAGGCTCATAATGATAAGTGTGAGTAGTATCATGCCAAGCAATGGCAGGGTTGACTGCTATTCACCAGAAATTAGCTCCTTGACCACAAGAGCACAAGGATATGGCTGATCTGCCATATGCTGTATTGGTATCACAGCGCAAACAGGATCAAAGGCACCATTAGGTGATACTTTCAGCATCTTTATTCAGTAGTTTCTTACACACTGTGTTTGCCGAACCATAGTGCTGGTGTAGAGGGACTGGCTGTGGAGAGCCCTGGCATGTTCCCACAGGGCAGTAAGGACTGACAGCAGGACCCAGGGGGGCAGTAGGAAAGCAGGAGGCTGGAGGCTTCATCACAGTGTGACTGATGCTGTTTCCATTGAGCCAAACCCTAGTTTGTCTCCCCAGATACATAAACTGAAAAGTGGCAGGTTGGATGAGGCTTGGAGCAACCTGGTTTAATGGAACATGTCTCTGCCCATAGCAGGGAGGTTGGAACTAGATAACCTTTAAGGTCCCTTTCAAACCAAACCATTCTATCATTCTATGATCTTGAGCATGCATAAAACTTTGTGACATGACTCGAGTTTAATTTATAATCTGGTCAACACATAGCGATGCTCTTAGACTGGTCCTAACAATATCCTGAATTCAAAACAGGGTGTTTGCATCTGGATCACCAAGTCAACCCCCTCAGCTTTTACCCACACATTAACATAGCTCAGACTGTATATTCTCCAACCAGACAACTTCCCTTTATTCCAGTGCCATCCCTTCTCAGCTTTTTGATGATGCTCTCTGCTCACACTGAACTTGTCTGCAGCCACTCCCTGCCTTTATCACTGCATACATACCCGAGACACTAAAGACTGGGGGCGTATGTGGGAAAAGGGTGAAGGGTAGTGGTTGGAGGTATGTGAAAAACAGCATAAGAATAGAAGAACATTAGGTGGGACACTGGTTTACCGGAAGTTATACTTCAAATAAAATGCTACATCCTTTGGGGAAAAAAAAACCAACAACAAAACAACAACCAACCTGCTTTATGGGCTGTGTAAATCTGCCTCCTCCTGTCATAGCCCTAACCTGACCTCTAAAACTATTCTCTGTAACATCTTGCTTCCAGGCTTCTTATTCCTGCCTCGCCACTTCTCCTCTCCATCTGTTGGGCAACAATGGCTTGGAAAAAGATTAATGAAGGCAAAAGGCAGCAATTCCCACTTTGAATTTCGCACATGCCTCCTTTGCTGAGCATGGAAAATTAAGAGTATATTGATAGAAAGAGAATTATGGATGCCATCATCTAAGCACATGCAATGAATGTGCAAAATTAATGTACCTACAATGGCAGCAGGAAACTTAGTAGAAACAAACAAAAAAATTAAAACCCTTGTTATGTTTATTTAATTCCACATTGCAGTGTGTAAGACAGAGAAAAGTTAATGATCTCTTTCTATACAACAATCGTATTTCTCATTTTGAGGATGGAGATCACATATTTATTATGTTTGGCTTGTAAAATGCCATAGCTGTACAAAATAAACTTCATAGAAGAGGTAAAATCTGCTCCAGAAATAACTAGGTCACAATCCTCAGGAATTTAAATGAGCCCTAAGGAAGTATATTCCTGATAACTGGCACAAAGCAGAGTACATGTGTAAATATGATATGCAAATGCTAGAATGCTTCACGGAATACATATATTTTCAGGTTTCTTTTTAAATAAAAGTAAATACTTGATATGGGAAATTATTATGGACACATAAAATGCGACGCCACATGAGCAGAAAGCTGAAATTAAATAGGTGACCTGTATCATGAAACACAACAAAATCTGCTTAGCTGGTTTAAAAAAAGGAGAAAAGATGCTGTGTTTGGCTGAGACCACAGGAGGAATACAAGGAGGCTGAACTGACTGATCTGAAATGAAGTCAGCTAGGACAGCAGTGTGACTTCCTGGAAAAACACTGCCAGGGCACCTCTCCCGGAAGCATCAGAGATTGACAGATAACACATCTGAATAGCACTGCCCCCTTCAGCACAGCCCACTTAAACCCAAAACACAAGCAGAACAAAAACAAAAAGGAGAGAGTGAAATGCACTTTATAAGGAGAGAGTGAAATGCACTTTATGGTTTTGTCCTATTTAACTTAAAAGCTTGTGCAGAAATCCTTACAGAGTTGGCAGTGCATCGCAGAGAGCAGGGCAAAAAGGTGTGGTGTATTTGCACAAAGTCCTGAATAATGTGGAAACCAACATAACCAAGGATGCAGCTGAAGTCAGGTGTGTCCTTTCCTATGGTAGTTTCCTTTATTAAGTGTCTCTCTTGGTCCTGGCCAGGTTAGAGCGGTAGAGATGTTTCAGGGATGCTAAATGAGAAGGCTTCTCCTTCCAGGGCCAGGAAGCCAGGAGCAGGGTGGTGTTTGCAGGGCAGAGCCCCTTGCAGAGGTCACGAAAGATTTCATCCACCAGTTGGGAGAAAAAACCAATCCAGAGATTTTTATCCAGACCCTGCGTGGAGCGAACCTGATAGGCACAGTAAACACTGGTGAAAAGCAGGCGGTCAAACCCCACTGGAGGCAAGGGGGTATCAGTCAGTGAATAGTAGCTCAGGTGCTGCTCAATCTCTGCTGGTGTTTTGGGAACTTCCTCCTCTAAAACGTGCATGAACCACCGTGCCGGGCGCAGGGAGGCCAGCTCTTCATCCCGCAGCCGGACTGTGCTGTTGGCCTGAACATCCAGCCCTCCCCACAGCATCTGGAAGGGAAGAGCAGCACGTGAAGCCCAGCACAAACCCTCCGCCAGTTATAACCCAGCTGTAAAGCCATCTGCAAAGCTGCCAAATCTCAGGCCACACCGACAGGCGGCTGCTCCCTGACTCGCTGCCCACAGCCCGCCTCATCCCACTCCATGTCCTTCTTTGCCAGCCCCACACCCCTTTTCTGACCGCCCCACACTTCAGTATCCCTATGGGACCCATCCAGCTCTGTCCTCCCGCCCTGCCACATCCGCCTCATTCCCACCCACAGCGGCTCCCCAGTGCAGCTGCCTCGGGAGGGGGGCTTGGCCACTTGGGGAAGTCACCCATCCCATCAGGATGGTCCCTTGTCCCACCCCAGAGGTTTGAGGTGCCATGGAGGGGATAAGAGCCCCCCCTCAGCTGCACCCCACAATGGGAAGGAGCACAAACGCATTAGGGCATTGCTGAGGTGTTCTCCAGGCACTCCCGAAATCCAGGAGGGATGAGAACAAGCAGAACGTGTGAGTTTTTACATGCAGGAAGGTGGGACCATGGACACTAGCAGTGCCTTGGCCCAGGGGCCCCCAACACCCCAGAGACCTCTAACACGATGTCAGCATCCTCTGGGCTGCGATGGGGAGTGTTGGCGCCGGCACCATCCCTGCTGTAAGGATGTTCATCTGGAAGACATCAGGCAGAGTTTGGTAGCGCACGACCAGGGCCCTTCCTGTTTATGTTTGTCATTTGGTTCTCAATAACATCTTCAATGTTTCTGAGCTGTCACTCACAGCTTGCCAAACATGGCAGATGCTGACCATGGGGTTTTGATAAGCAAAACAAGCTTTTTAAGAGGAAAAAAAACCCACTTCTTTTAGGACAAGCAGAAGTGTTTAAGGGAGGCAAGTGTAACTTTTGGATATGACAGCCCTTAATCCTGCCAACAGAGCTAAAGCAATGGCAGCAAATGCATTTGCTTTGACAGGCAGGAAGGAAGCTTTTCACACTGAGAATGGGTGGGTTTTGAACTGATGGGGTTTGGTTGCTTGGCAGCTTTTGCTGGAGAAAGCAACGCTTCCCAGTGGAAGGAGATTGCTGGGAGGCTCCTCGACCTGCTGGTGGAGACATACCCTGATGCTTATCCTGGTTTTATACTTCCCTGAGCATCTGCTGCCAGCAGAGGCAAAGTGTGGGAGGCAAAGAAACCTGGTCGGATGCATTATGGCTCTTATGTCCAGCTAATTCCTTGCTGGGCCACCCTATATCATTTAAAAGGGCAAAAAAATATACAAGGTGAGAGGAATGGGAGTTTATTAAAATGAAAGTCACATTAATCCTAAGAATTCTTAATTTTTCATTAAATAACACTTTTAGTGTTTTAACTTTTTGCATTTATTTTGTCTTTATTATTTCCTTCTTGGTGAAAAAGGAGACACAAGCAGCCTCAGTCCAGGACTGTGACAGGGAGGCTGCATCCCCTCCCTTTTCTGTGCTACTCAGCATAGTCGCACAGCCAAGACCCTCTTCTGCTTCTTACAGACTCATCCTTAAGGTCAAGAAACACAAAATGGAAAAGGCTCATATAAAATATAAGCTTTCAGACACCTTTTTAAAAATTATTTTTATATGGATTAAAGCTTTTTTATGTAAAAAAGAGGGAGAATTTATATTAAAGAGTGCAGAGTTAAGGTCAGCAGGTGTTTATAGAGAGTAGAAAAATCACTGAACACCGTGTGTGTGTAATGACCACTAACAAACTGCACTTCAAACTTTCCATCCTTGATTAAAGCTTACCAGGGAGATGCACAAGCTGCCTGAAGAAGTGCACTGCCACCCCCAGAGCTGCAGAGATTTGTTTCTCTGCACAGCTGCAGGCTCCCTGATCCAAGCCAGCCGTGGCTTTGGAACGCGAGCAGGGATGTATCTGCTCTTTCCTACTCCTCCATGGATGAGCCAGGAAGGCTTTTAGCTCAGGTAAAAATACTGCATCATCTGAATCTGTCTTTGCAGGGCTTCTCTTTGCTAACTGGTCCTCTAGGTTCACAGATCTCTCTATTGAATGATTCCTCTACATACGATTGGATTCAAAGTCAGTGTATTTGGTGACTAGCTGCCAAAATGCTGTCTTTTAGTAACTGTCTCACGAGTATGTGCACTGTTAGATCCCTGAGTAGAGCAAAACAAACATCAAACAAATCATAACAAATAATGTATTGAAATAATAACATAAATATCCTCTAGAGATGGGGAAAAAATGTCCCTCGTTTACTTGAACATCCAACAATTGATTGTTTGTTTGTTTTTCCCAAAAAGCATCTGGAAAATCCACAAGAATTCTTGCAGAAGCAGATTTTTTTCAGTGCAGACTCAAGAAAACCTTCCCCCTGCCACTGAACGTCACAGCAGGTCTTTATCCTACAAGTAGGTACAAGTGCCTCCTCCAGTGATCCGGGACTCCAGATCTCTCCCATGTCAGCACAGCCAGCTGGAGCATTTGACCATATTTAGAGTCACGGAATCACAGCATGGTTTGGGTTGGATGGGACCTTAAAGCTCATTCATTTCCAACCCCTGCCACAGGCAGGGACACCTTCCACTAGAGGAGGTTGCTCCAAGCCCCATCCAACCTGGCCTTGAACACTGCCAGGGGTGGGGCAGCCACAGCTTCTCTGGGCACCCTGTGCCAGCGCCTCAGCACCCTCACAGTAAAGAATTTCTCCCTAATGTCTGATCTAAATCTCCCCTCTGTCAGTTTAAAGCCATTCCCCTTTGTCCTGTCCCTACCTGCCCTTGTCAAAAAGCCCGAGGAAGCAGGCAGTCTCACACCACTGGCATTGCAGGAACATTTCCCAAGCCAAGAAGCCACATCCCGAGCAGGTGCATTTCCTACCTGTGAGCCTCTGGGATCCAGCAAACACGCACAGGATCAGCCAGGCATTGACCTGCTCCGGGGCCATAGCAGCACTGCTCCCACCCATGCACGGACAGTGCCCTGCGTGGAGTGAAGGCTGTTTGCAGTGGTGTCCTCCCCTGCTGCTTCTGGTCCCAGCAGCCTCTGTTGGAACAGATCCCTCTTTCTGTGTTTCTGGTTACAGTCCTGGGAAGGGCTTGCAGTTCAACTTGCTGACCCCGAAGGATATTTTCCATCGTATTTCGGAAACTTGGAAGACTTTGTTGCAAAGTTTTTGGCAGAATCGTTTAAGCTTCTTTTCCAAAGACTGGCTTCCCGCTGCAGTGTATTGTAGGAAGCTATCGTTTGCACTACACAAATGACTCTGAAGAAGGGAGGTCCCTTCCGTGTCCGCACTGCACCTCTGTCACATCTCTGTGACACTTCTGCTCGGCTCTTTGGCTTCATTTTCTGTTTTCCTTTTTCCTGAGTTTCAGAATCTGCAACCGGCCCTGAACTGTCACAAACAGATAAGGCCAGCAGGCTTATCCATGATTCATGGAAGCAGATTCAGGGAAGAGCAATAGCAGCCAAAACATACAAACAGGCAGAAGAAACGTCATTTGCTCAGTTCTGTATCAAACCTCCCAGAGGGAGAACTTGGTACAGCAAACAGCAAGGATCAGAGCCAGGCAGGCTTTAGCCCCTCATGGTCCTTTCCTGTGACAAGACCTGGGGGTTATGATAAGCACAGTTTTCCTTAGATGTTGTGAATTACAAGGCTGAAACTACATCTGATTCCCTTCACAGCAGATCGATGTTCTCTACACATCTTTGCACTTTTCTTAGGGCCCAATCCCCAGTCAAGCTGTTCTATATTTCTATTCTGCATGGCACAGTATGGTCCTGGCTTCTCCAGCAGTTTCTGGGATGCCAGCGTTATACAAATAGATATGTATAAAGAAGTAACAGTACCATCTCCCTGAGCTTAAAGGGGAAAAGGCCCAGAAAAGAGAGGAGGTGGAGCTGATACTCACACCTTTCTCAACAAGTTACAGGGTGTCAGTTTGTAGTGACTACTGTCACCATGTATTTTACTGAAGGTAGGGACGATGCTCCAGTCGATAAGCTGGCAGCCTGCAAGGTAGCTTGTCTCTTCTGAACCTTCCAGGGTCTGTAGCTGTACCTGGCAACGTGTGGACCCACACCAGCTGTGAAGAAATGCAGCACATAACGGAAGAGTCCCAGATCTAACTCTTATGTACCCAGAGTCCTCAATACCCACAGCCATTCTTACCCTCAGTTTGGATGAAAATAAGACCTGTGTTTCTGTCATAACCTTGGCTATCTTCAGATCAGGCTACACTTCTTTCAGTCTTCATTATTTTCTCCTGCCTACGCTTCAGTTGTGCCCCTTTCCTCTGGGATGAGATATCTTTCATTAAGCTGTGAATCACAGGCTACTCAAGAGGCAGATAGCAGTGACCCATCTGTGCAGTGAGATGGATGTGCCTTCTGTTTTGTGTCAGAGTCCCTTACGATCCACAGTGTACACATGACTTTAGAAGTCACTGTGCCAAAAGCCCCTGCACCTCATAGACCATGAAATCGCTTCCCTTTAGCATGAACAAGGAGTCCAGGATCTTGGCCAGCATCTGCAAAGGCCATATACGATTTTGTCAGCAGGATCATTTCCTAGGAACAGTTTGCAGCTGAAGTGCCCAGAGGATACCCATGATGGTGAGAGAGATTAGAGAGGAGGTTCAGAGGCTGTGCTTAGCAGACTGATACAGAGGCAGGCAGGGGACAAGAATCAGTGGTAGATGCTGCCTTGAGCTAGGGGAATTTTGCAGAATTTCCTCACTATCCCACATAGAAAAGCACTTGCAGAGTGCAAAGATATCCCTTAGCTGTTTGCAAGCAGCAGAAGTTACATGGTACACAGAAACAAGCGGGGTTTCTGACAGCTGTGCATGGTCCCTGCATGTACTATTGCAACGGCAGTGAGCCTGCTCCTCCTGATGGATCTTGTCCTTGCCAGGTATTCACAGCTGAGTGTGCACAGCCCTGCCCCTCTGCACCCCACCTGGCCGTACCATCTGCTGTAGGAGCAGTTTCAACACATCACATCAAGCTAGGTTTCTGCAGGGGCACCTTGACTGGTTTCATTCTTTCCACCATAACCTCCTGAAGTAAGGAGATGGGAAAGGGGAACAAGATAGGAAGGATTGTAAACTGCAGGAGCTGTCTGGATGCTGGTTGAGACACGAGGTGTGGTTAGTACAGTACCTAAAAAGCCTCTTTGGGAAGCAGGTTTCTTTGAGATTGGACTGCAGGGAGATGGGCAGCACCTTCACAAAAGGGAAATTATAGAATGGGAGAAATCTCTTGCTTTGAACCTCTTGCCCAGAACTTAGGGAAGACCATGGCCCCCAGCCTGGGCCTGTCTGGCAGGTGCTCAGGGGAGGAAGATGAGAACATGGCTGAGGAAAGAAGGGAAGGAAGAAGGATGTACATGACTAGCAGAGAAGGTGAGGTTTGAGTCACAGGCAGGGAAAAGGGAAGAAGACCTTGAGGAAAGCAGGAGTGAAGCACTGATGGTAAACAGACATGACCTCCGCTGTCATTCTCCATGTATGGTGCTGCTGGTTCTTATGCAAATGCTTTCCCCGACTTCTTTCAGTTTGTGAGTGGCATCCACTGCTTGAAGGAGTAATGGGATGTGTATCTGTGACAGGGAAGGCCCCATCCCACTGCACCTACTGCGCAAAAGGAACTCTGCAGAGGCCTCACACAACTTGGAAAGATCATGGGATACAGCGGGATGGGTGGTATGCAGCATGCTGTCACCCAGCCTGTCCCTCAGTAGTCCCATAAGCTCTGTTCTGCAGGAGTGCAAGGCCCAGCTGAAATCCCCAACTAGAGATCAATTGTAAGGGCCCATACAGACTGTGGATGTGATGGAGGCGGATACCCTGACACCATCAATAGCCACATCCTCAGGGAGGAGAGACTGCTCGCCTGGCTGGAGGGAGAAATACCAGAGTTCTGGAAAACGCCAGCAAAACCTACTCAGCTGGGGAAGCTCAACATGGTGACTGTGAGTCATCTCCTAAAGTCTATTTGTCCCCACAGTACCAGAAAATCTCTCTTCTGAACAGCGTGTCTGTAAACCCACTCCATTTGACTTACATCTCATCCAACATCCTCCTACAGCTGGGAAGTCCAGCCCAGGCAAACAGGCCTCATGGAGGCTGGCTGTGTGGATAAAGGATTTGGAAGACAGTTCTGTGCTTGACCAAGCTGACCGCAGCCTTGCCTAGCATGAAGCAAGTGCCCACCAGCCGCAAGGAACCTACAGCAAGCAGGATTTATAGGCAAGAATGCCTTCTAAGACTCTGGAGCAGTGGAGGAGGTAGCGTGCCAGCATTGGCAGTACTTTGTAAGGCTGTGCAACCTCTTGTGCCCAGGGATAATGCATCTGGGTGAGTAAATTGCACTCTTCGTAATCTCCCAGGCTTCTCTAATGAGAAGAGATTTGGGTCCATTAGCAACTATGCCACATAATAAAGACCTGCTGGAGCCATGCCTGTCCCCACAGGGCTAGCTAGTTCTCCAGTACACGCATTCTTCAGCAAAGCTTACATGTTGTTTAACTTGACAGGGCATTGTGTCTAACATTTTCTGATGTCAATCAAATTCTCCTTCTGCACAAACATCATGTTTAAATGTCAGTTTTCCTTCTGTTCCTGCCACCATCAGTCTTCTGACTTAACATACTGGGAAACACATATTTTTTACATGATACAGACCATGAGTCTTGGCACGGTGCCTCAACCAACCTGGGATGAGGGAGGGAGAACATGGGGGGAAATGTGCTTTAAAAAGAATTTTCACAGCAACAGAAGTGGTGCCAGGAACTTTTCTGTCTTGTGCAATAGGCATCAGCATGCAAAAAGAGCCACCGCACCAGAAAACAGAACCAGCTGTGGAACATGTCACAGCAAGGACTAAAAGTACATTTCCTATTTAATCAGCTCAATTGATGGCAGATCCAAAGTGAAGCTGAGAATTGTATAAACCCCCAAACTTCTGCTGATCTGTGTTCCTCTCTCTTTCCTGTAGAGCTTTAACTTTGAAGTTGAGCGGCAAATGCTATTAATTTTAACTAGAGACCACTCTTGTGAGTCACATCCCAAATGCTGCCTGCCACAGCAGCCTGAAGCAAATTAAAGAAACAACAAAAAAGGAATTTAAGGAGCCCATGCTTACAAGGCTGGGGTGGAAAGAGACAAACATGAGACCCAATTCTTACCATACAGTTCAGCTCTTTGTTCTTGAAAACAGATCACATTCTAGTTACAATGAGTACTTGTCCCTTCTTTTTCCTTATTTGAAGTGACTATTGTCCTACCCCTTGCTCCATCCCATACTCTAACCTCCCCAAAACCCCTTTTTTAGTTAGTGCTTTTAGAATTTAAAAGCTTAAGTAGTGATTCAGGGAATCTCTACAAACAGACCGTGAATGATTTTATGAATCTTTTATACAATAGTTTTGAGATCTTAATGAGGTCAGTCAGCTTCCTAACACAGAACTGAGTTATGCATTTTCTGGACTAAGGACAAGAGACATTAACTGATGACTGCTGTAATGTTATCCCATTCAAACAGGTGGTGGGTGGACTGAGACAGTGTTTTTCCAGCTTTTTTTGGAGAGAGCTGAGATTTTCCACAAGAGCAAAGATAGTGGTAATGTTATATCATACAGCTCAAAATAACTGGAGTAGTGACAAAAAAGGCATAGACCCTCATCTGTGGCACAAGAGAGATTTTTTTTTGACTGCAGGAAAAAGCACAATCTGAAGATGCTGGAGGACTCTCGATTGTGAAGAAAAAGCCAGGATGAGAAGTGGCATGTGAGAAGTTACCTGCAACTCTTCCTTCTGCCAGAACAAGCACTGACCTTATTCCCATGGAAACAACACAGATTTCCACAATTGTTTTGCTCTGTATCCAGGTACATCTTGTGTTGTCCTAATAACTGTATTAGAATCACTTACAAAAGCTTTGCCTGTTTGGTATATTATTAGCTTCTTCCCAACACCCATCTTGGAGCTGAGATACTGCTGTCCCACTGCTTAAGCTAAACAGCTGCTTTCAGTACAGAGCTCAGGTTATGATTTATGCCTGCAGGGACAGTTAGCAGAAGCAGTGCACAGAAAGCATTTAGCCACAGGGAATTCCTGGACTCCACTCAATTTGCAAACCAAAAGAGACAAACCCAGTGTCTTACAGCTTGAAGCAGCAGATAAACATCTACCAGCTGGATTATCAGGATTGTAAATTAGCATCCCTCACCCTGTGCTTTTCATTGAAGACAACATTATTCATGTGACCACAACAGCAGGACTCTCATATCAATTTTTATTATTATAAATACTATGTAAGAACAGAAAGGATGGTGCCGTGCACCCGCTCCATTCTGCTGCTATTTTGCATCTTCTTTCTTGGCTCCTGCTTCTATTTTCAGGGTTTCTGGGGCTGGACGATAGGCAGGAAATGCCTCCCAAGGACTATTCAGATCAAATTTGCGAAACTCCTGAGCTAGCTCCACAGGCTCTGCCACCACCCGTTTCACTTCATCGTCATACCGCACCTAGAACAGTGCAAAGGACACAGACCAGTCATTTTCACACAGTCCCCACAGCATCCCTGCTATTAGCTGTATACAGTAACAATCCACACCACCCTCCAGTAAAGGGAATCCTACTTCTTATGCCATGGATAGGCCACAGGCCCCTGCCACAGACCTCTGGACTCTCCAGGAAAACCCTTCTCTTTGCTACCACATAGCTCAGGTGTCCTGACTAATGACCCTGAGTGCCCAGCCTACAGTCCATATGAAGTCCACATAGAATAACACATTCAGTTTGTGACAAAGGAATTTCTCCTGAGTCACTGAAATAAGGTGGCCCATCCACCTGGCATAGCTGGGGACTACGCTCATGAATCTTTATAATAGAGGTGTTGGGTTTCAGTTGTACTTCTTATTGTAACACTCAGAACATGGGACAAAAAGACAAACAGGGTGAAACTCAGGTGAGTACCAACACTAATGACTGGCTTGCTTTATCAGTGAGCATACCTCAACTAGTTTTGTAATCTGGGCCTACAAAAACTCAACAAAGTGGAGTTCAAAACTGCATTAAAACCAGTTCAGTCCTTTATTCCTCTGGGAATCTCCAGTTTTGCAGTAGAAAGTTTAATCTTTCAGAAGACGTGCTAAAAGCAGAAGCACTTCCCCTTCCTGACAATTGTCTTTGGTACACATTACATGAAATCTGCTCAATGTCTCTGGCTTTAGGCTGAGACAGATGATACAGATAATTATAGATGATACTTTGTGATGACTTCAAATCTGCATGCAAGACATCTATACAACTTTTATGGAATACACACAAGTGAAATATCCCTAGTGCTTTTTGGAAAAGGATTTTATATTACTATGGTCAGTAATAGAGAGCACAGTATTGAAGAGATCTGATAAATTTAGACATGGGCATTTCTCCTACCTCCACGTAACCAGAGAGTGGAAAGTCCTTCCGGAAAGGATGGCCCTCAAACCCATAGTCTGTGAGGATTCGCCTTAGGTCAGGGTGGTTGGCAAAGAAAACACCAAACATGTCCCACACCTAAATGGAAGAGAGCCAAGTAAATTAATTAGATTAGAGAAAAAACACACCCAAAACATCATGTATTACGTCTATAAAACTTCAGTTACACGCCTGGCTTTGTGTAGGGCCAGCAAAACTGATGCAGGAACTCATTCCAAAGCAAATCAAACACCCTTTTATCTCCTATTCTGAAAACGCAGCCAGGGAAACACTTCTCTCTTTATTCATCAGGGCCCTGGTAGTCAGTTTAATCAGGAAAAAATCTCCACAAAGACTCTGCTCCCAAGCACAATGGCACTCACCTCTCTTTCATACCAGTTTGCTGCCTTGTGCACAGACACTGCTGAGTCAATGGGTGTCAGCTCATCAGTGTATGTCTTCACCCGGATCCGACTGTTGAACCGCAGAGACAGGAGATTGTACACAATCTGAAGCAGAGTAAGAGAATACACTGGTCTTGTACGGCTTTTATGGCTCTCTTTGCAGCACAGAATTGGCTAAGAAAAGGCACACAAAGACTATTTCAAATATTCTTTATCAGCCGAAACACATTCAGTGCTGGGCACTAAAAGACAGTATTACCATTGAGCTTACACTTTGGTTCTGAGAAGCGCAACAAAAATCATGTGAGACTTAGTAAACATGACCCATGAAGAGCTGAAGAGAGACACGAAATCTTAAAGAGAATACTGAAGGGAGGGAGACACTTGACAAAGAAAACAGACGAAAATTACTCTCAGCATCCAGTGGGGAAAGCTAAGAAGAAACACCCTTAACTTTCAGTAGATAAATTGGATACAAAGGAAAATTTCTACATCTTCTGGTGATGAAGTACTAATAAAAAGGCTGCTTAGGAAGATTACTAGAACTTCCAGGGTAGGGGGCAGGAATACTTACTACAAGCAGACTGAAAAAAAAACCAAACCTTTGTAAGAAGTTGTGTAGCCCTTTGATACTGCCTCTGTGAAGAGGCCTCTGAGTTAAAGAAACTCTCTCTACAACTCTCAAGATTTTTGCCTAATCACAAAATATGTTACCAAAAGTCAAAGCTGTTATTAGCAAAGCAAGAAGGAGCTACATCTGAAAACAAAAGCCATCTGGTTAGCTAATATAGCTAAGGCAAACCTGTCACCCCTCACTTTCTGAGCAGCTGTAAACGATTTAATCCCACAAGATAAACCCAAGGAGGGAAACAAATCAGCTACTTTTCATTACCCTTGTTATTTTCTGGAAACTAAAAGTCTACCAGTTTACTACTCTTGCCCAAAAGACAGTCTACCCACATCAGACACAGTAAGTCAGACCGTCTCTTCATCCATAAGGCTACCTAAACCATAGCCAGCACGAGTCCCAGGTGTTTTGTGCCACTGCTTTTTTAAAGATCTTCCTAAGTTAAACTACAGTAATGTGAACAAAGCTTTCTAATAGTGTGAGACAATATGCTAAGTCAGAAGAATCTGCAGCTGCAATTCTTTTGCAGCTTAAAAGCAGAGATATTCAAAAGCATTTGGGGGAACCAAATCTCCAATATCCATTGAAAGGCACTGAACTGGAAGTTCAGTGCCCAAAGTCTTCTGATAGGTTCCTGAAAATCTGCCTCATGTCCTGTATGGTACCAACTTTCAGGGAAAGTTTTTTTTTAAAAAAAAAACCCAAAAAAGTATTTAGTTGTTTAAGATTAAAACAGTAACAGCAGCTGAGATGCCTAACTGGAAGAAGGATGAGCACCAGTTCACATCTGGCCAGAAAGAAGTCTATAGACAATTTGGTAAAACCAAAACGGAAGACAGAACAAACAAACCAAATAAAAAAAAAAAACAAACCAAAGCAAGAAACTTTCAGCAGAGCAGAAAAGGAAAACCAGACTAAGAACCCAGGCAGTTATCAGTTCTGCTACTGCTTCCACAATCCACAGATCAAACAAAACCCAGCATTTCAGAATGGATTTTTTTCCTCCATTGTCAGGAAGCAAAAAATGTGATCAGCATTGCAAGGGCACCCACAGCCATCAGCATTTGTGAAACTCTCCAAATCCTGTACCTATGAGCAGTTCTTACCTCAAAGCGATACTGCCGAGATGGGACATCAACTGCAGTCAAGTCAGCCAAGGATTTGAACTGGGCGTTAGTGTGGTCTCGAAGGAAGGTCAGAACTGGAATGATCCCATCTGGATGGATCAGAAGTTCCAGCTCATTGAAACTGGTCACCTGTTGAAAGGGTGAAAAGAACATGCATACAAACACCAACAGGATTGAGCATTATGCTGAATCCAGCAAAATACCCAAAGAAAGATAGTATATGGTACAGCAGACACACAATGACAGCACATAAAGGGGCTTAATAACAGCAGTAACTTTATGCAATTCTGACAGTTTTTCTTCCCCAGAACACCTTCTGAAAACAGCTAACAAAAAAGTAGTATGTTCACCAAGATCTGCCCCCCCTATAAAAAGAACTTCTCGAACAGCACTTACCTGTGCTTGCTGGATATACTTGGGCATAATCTCAGCCACATACTCCCCAAAAGCACACAGCTGCTTCTGTTCTACTTCATTTTTTGGTCTGACAGTAGCTAAGGAGAAAAATAAAGGTCCCAAGATTATGGCATGGAATACAGAAAGCTACAGAAAGAAGAGCAGCAACTCCTATCCCTGACTTACAAATCCCTTGTAGCAGTCTAGCTGTCTGTCAGTAGTTCTGGCAGAAACCAGGCAGCTTCAGGTTTAGGTACCCTGCAATGTTTATTTATGGTAAATCTGAAGTTAAAGACAACATACAGTAAAATATACAGGATGCTGCAAGAGACAAGACTACAGCTACATATATGTGTTGTGGTACACAGAGCATGGAACTAGAGACTTTAAGGAAGGAAGCTTGTGCTAGGGCTAAACAATTTTGCCTTGGGCACTTTACAGCAGAAGGAACAGCACATAAGATGATGGATTTATGGTAACTGCAAAATAAGTTTTCAGAGTGAAGACCTACTAAAATCAAAACTTTTCAAGAGGATAACAGAAGATAGCACAGTACCTAACGGGAAGATTGCGGTCTTTTAGTCATTTAAAAATGCAGATTTTATCAAGTGTTCCAGTTCACCACTTACGGCTGGCAAAAGTTGTAGAATTACAAACAAGACAGAGACTCCCTTTTTATAGGGAGTCACATGGAAAAGACAAGGGGCGATGGGCACAAGTTATTCCTGGGGAGATTCTAACTGAACACAAGAGGAGTCACAGAACAGTTTAGGCTGGAAGGGACTTTCAAAGGTCATCCAGTCCAACACCCTACAATGAGCAGGGACACCTTCATCTAGATCAGGTTGCCCAGAACCACATCCAGCCTGGCCCTGAATGTCTCCAGGGATGGTGCATCCACCACCTCTCTGGGCAACCTGTGCCAGTGTTTTACCACCCTCATTGTAAACAATTTCTTCCTCATGTCCATCCTGACTCTCCTCCCTTTTAAAACCTTTATCCCTCATCCTGTCACAACAGACTCCGTTAAAAAGCTTTTCCCAGGCCCTCATTCTTCCCAACGAGAACAACCAAAAAGGTTCCACCACACAAGAACGTCCTGAGCGCAGACAAGCGCCCCAAGCCCGAGCAGCCGGGAGATGACAGGGCCATGACACGGTCTCTTTCATTGCTCCCAACCCAACCAACGGCTCCAACCGCAAGGCCCTCGCCTCGCTCCCCCTCACTCACGGCGAGTGTCTGCGGCGGAGCTCCCCGTCAGCCGGGCCTGGACCGCCGCCGCCGGGCCTGCGCCAGCTGCAGACAGAAACGGACACGTCTCACTCACCGACCGACCCACCGACCGACCCAGCCCCGCAGCTAACCCCCGGGAGCCCTCACCTCGCAGCGCGGCCCGCGCCAGGCCCCGCGCCGCTGCCGCCACCAGCATCCCGCCGTGACACGGACAGGCAAGGGCACGGACCGGAAGCGGAAAGCGCGCCTGGAACTTCTCGGGGACGCTTCCGGCTCGGTGGGCGGAAGCAGCGGGCGGCTGGCGGCGCGGAGCGGAGCGGAGCTCGGAGCAGGCTCCCCGTGTCGGCGGCATGAAGGGAGGCGCCGCAGGTGGGTGAGGGCGGGAGGCGGGGAGCGCTGAGGAGGTGCGTCCGCCGGAGGGTGCGAATGGCCCCGGGTTGGAGCGGGGCTGCGGGTTCGAGGCGGCTCGCCGGCGGTTTCCATAGCGTTAATGTGGCCATAACGGGGGGGGGGTGTGTTTGCTTTCCTGGGAACTGGCTTTTCAAGCAGACCCCCCTCGCCCCAGTCTCCGAAGCGCGAAGCCGCTGTCGGTTGTGTGCGTGGGTTCGCTGATCCCGGGCGCTGTTAGGAGCGAGGGGGAAAAGCAGTAGGTGTGCCTGGTGTTGGTTACACCGTCATTATCCCACTGCTGTGCTCTTGTCAGGCCACATCTGGAAGACTGTGGTCAGTTTTGGTCTCCCCTGTGAGAAAAAGATGTGGACAGGCTGGAGAGGGTCACAGAGATGATCCAAGGACTGGGAAGCCACATGAGGAAGAGCTGGGCTTGTCAGCCTAGAGAAAAGAAGGCTTAGGAGAGACCTTGCCACCATGTCCCAGTGTTTAGAAGATGGAGACTTGCTTTTTACAAGGAGTTAAATGGAATAAGACAAGGAGTGATGGGCACAATTTACTCCTGGGGAGATTCCGGTTGGGCACGAGGAAAATTATTCATATTATGATAATAATCAGCCATTGGAATAATCTCCCTGGGGAAGTGGTGACTCCCGATGGAGTGTAAGATTTTGCTTTATGGGACACTTTACTGTTCCTGCACCTCTTTCTTTATAGTGGAGATGCCATGGATGCGAAGGGGAGCTTTGTGTTTACAAAGAAGGGTGTGAGGTTTACAGTAGTCTTTGTTGCTGGCATTTCCTTAGTGACTTGGCACCAGCCCTCTGTAAATTGCACAGGGCGGTGGAGGCAGCTGGCTCTGCTATGTCAAGAGGAAAGAGTGGTTCATCCATCCATATCCTGATGCTCTGAGTGGTTCCTTTGGCATGCTAGGCTGCAAAGCACCTTGACTTATTGGGATCGAGAGTCCTAACCGAAGTGGGAGCCCATCTGCAGCATAGACTTGTACTTAGTACCTGTGTGTTCTGTGCTAATTGCAGTTCCTCAGTCTCTTACAGACTAATGTACAGGTACTTTTCAGACAGACCAGAACTGTTGTAAATTCACACTAAAGGTATAATTAAGGCAGGCCATCATCAGGGATGGGATAGACTTCTAGGGATGTAGACTTCTGTGAACAGAATTCAAGCAAAGAAGGAGGAGCCTTCCTGTATTAAGTAGAGCTATTGTAAAAAGCCGCATGTTTGACAAATAAAGCATGGAAGAGTAACTGTGAATCTCCTGGAGAAGAATCCCATCTTTGGGAATCACTGTACTGGAAATCATGTTCAGTATTAATTGAAGAAGTTTGTGATATGAGTCACCATGATTGACAGTTGAGGTGTGAAAATAAGATTAAAGTGGATGAAGGCAGGCACGTATTTGCTCGTAATACTTTCAAGAGCCACGTGAAAAAGGAGCTCTTTACAGCAGTCCTTCTCTGGTTCAGAAGGTTTTTCAACCCACAGTCTTCTTGGAACTCTGCAAACAATCTCAGGTACCTACTAAGAGGTGTTACCTTTTAAATTGAGTTCTCCTTGCCCCTCGGGAAAAAGGGGCTAAGAACATCTGACAGGTTATTTTGCATGCTAAAGGTGTCTGGCACATTAACAAAATGGGTGTAACCATCAGTTATCTCCTTTGGTTAGCTTGAAGGATTGGTGGTTATGTCCGGCAGACTTCTCATGCATTGTTTGGGTAAAACCAAGTTCACCTTACTTAATACCACTGGATTGTGTTGGTTCTGGATGGTAGTTGACTCCTCCTGATGATATGAACTTCTGTCTGTGCTGTTAGTGTGATGCTGTAATCCTTTTTCCATCTAGCCCAGCTATGGTGCTGCCACTTTTTTTTTGGCTTCCCAAGTTGCCTAGGGTGGTTGCTGGTCTTTCCACTTGAATAACCATTGCTGCATTTCTTTGTGTTAGTGAAATGGGTTGTGAAAAACTATGCACATCTCCCAGTTCTGCTGGGACATGATGCTCACTGTACTGGAAGTTTCGTATATATTATAATTTTAATCATGCCAACTTCTCTTTTGTTGTTTGAGATTCTCAAGTTCAAGCAGAAGTTTCTGCCTGCACTATTTATATTCAGCATAAATATGCTGGCTTCTTACCAATATGTGTGATTTTCCCCTGTACCCTGAAGTACTGCATAATCTTGTTAGTGGAGAAAGACACGTAATTATTGTGATTTTACAGATTGCTGGAGGTCTGATCTGTGCAGCACCATGGATTCATCAGAAGAGACTGGAGGCTCCTCTGCAGAAGAAAACTACTTTGTGAACTACACCTTCACCGACCGCTCCCACTCAGGCCGTGTGGCCCAGGGTATTATGAAATTATGCTTGGAGGATGAGCTCTTTGCTGATGTTACAATATCAGTGGAAGGCAAAGAATTCCAGCTGCACCGCTTGGTCCTCTCAGCTCAGAGCTGCTTTTTTCGTTCTATGTTCACTTCCAACTTAAAGGAGGCCCACAACCGGGTGATTGAGCTGCAGGATGTTAGTGAGAGTGTCTTTCAGCTCCTTGTGGACTATATTTACCATGGGACTGTAAAGCTGAGGGCAGAGGAGTTGCAGGAAACCTACGAAGTGGCAGACATGTACCAACTGACTGCCCTTTTTGAAGAGTGTTCCCGTTTTCTGGCCCGTACGGTGCAGGTTAGGAACTGTCTGCAGGTCATGTGGTTGGCAGATCAACACAGTGACATGGAGCTCTACACAGCTGCCAAACACTGTGCAAAGTCACATTTGTCTCAACTGCAAGACACAGAAGAGTTCCTACACCTGCCTCTCCGCCTACTGACAGACATCCTTACAGGTAAGGAGTGCTTGGGACTAGCCAGGATGTGGATGTAGAAAGAGAGTCTATTAGGGGTTGAACAAAATAGATGGAAAGATCCAAGCTTTTAAATCACTGTCTATTCAGAGGCTTGGCTAAGCTAAGCAAAGCAAAACATTCTGGATAACCTGATGAGAAAAAAAACCCTATTCATGTCTATAGCATCTAAGCTATAGAAAAGGGGCACAGAGGATGCTGGTAATTCCCAGCAGTTCCTGAGTCAACAGGTCAGATGAATTACAGGCTTTTTAAACATAACTTAGTGACTTTCAACAATTTGTTGTATTTTGGTTTGCATTAAAAGTAAACCAGAGAAGCATTACCAGAAATGGACATTTTATTAAAGTATTCTTTAGTTTGTAATCATTTAACATAACAATGCAACAACTCAGCATTTGTAAGAAGGCTCGAGGACAAGCTATATTTTGAAGACTATGTTAGTGTTGTTAGCAATTGTATATAATTGTTAGGATTCTTCAGGCTAGGCAGTCAGCTGCCTGAAATTGAGGCATTGTAACATCTTAGGTAATACAGTAATTACCTTTCTTGTCAAGGTAATAGCCTTCCCCAGTAATGATGCAGTGACTCAGTGCTGTGAAGGATGCGTTAATACATCAAAAACTTAGTCCAGCTGCCACCAATCCTTAAAGTTTCTCTGCTGCCACAGAAGGTACAGCAAGTGCTTGAAAAACTCTTTATGATGCTGCAGTCACAACTTCATTTTTGTGCATTTATGTATCATTGTTACATGGGAGGAAGCAAGAATGTAGAAGCAGCTCAGACTTTCAAATGTGCTGGACTTGGGAACAGAGAGGTTGCCCCTTTCTTGCTTAAATTAAATAACTTTGTAAATGAGTAAACAGTTTGTGTATCATGTGTTTTGTATGTTGTTATGACAATAACAACAATATGACAATAACCTGCCATGACTGGCTGCTTTGGAATACTGGCAAATATGTCTGCAAGACTTAAAGTAGCCTGTAAAGTTTATGCTGTGCATATGAGAGTCTTTACAGATGTAGCATTGTATTATCTCTATTGCATTTAAAGAAATTCACAGTCAGAAGCCTACTGAGAACATGTACTGATAGCTCAAACTATTATAAAATATGAGTAATTTGATGACTAGCTGAATTTTTTAAGCAATATTGTGAGTTTATTAAGGAAAACTAAATTCCTAAAATAATGAAATAAAGCTATAGTGGTCAGTCACCTTTAACTTCTTAGGAATTCCATGTAGCAACCATAGCTTTTAGGACTATGGCCTTTAGTTTTTGTGGTCCTAACTTAAAGTAATTGCTCAATAAAACTTTTTTCTGCATCAGCTATTTCCACATATAGAATAACATTACTCACTATTTATGCCGAAACTTAGCTCATAAAAGGGATTGAAATCTGAAATATAATCCTACTGCTGGTAGGGAAAATTTTTCTTTCACAGTTCCTGCATCTTTATTTAGTTAATGGTGAACTAAATAGAGGAAGCTATTAGTGGCAAGGATTAAAATTAAGGAAGTAGTAATTTATTAAGCTTTTGTTGCACTCTAGGACCTATTTCAAAATCAGAGTTTTTCCGTTTGGCCGCTACGTGTAATGGATAGCTTATGGAAATCCCCTTTACTAATAGAGTTGAAATACCTGCTTTTGTTCCACACTCTGTTCTCTTCCCTGACAGTATAAAGAAAAGTGTTGGAATTTATCTGATGCCTTCAGCATCATTGAATTCAAGGTTTGTTGTGAGAGCAGATTGCAAAATCAGAAAGCCTTCATAAGGAAACCTTTCAATGAATAAAAAGTAATTGCTGACTTTCAAGATGGAAGTAAATACCTGAAATGTTCTAGGTAACATACTGATGACAATGATGCAATAGTTTGTGGCGTGACCAAAGCTTCCAGTTATGTCTGGAAACACTGAAATGTGATGCAGTCTGTTGAGTGTTTCCTACAGTCATGCTGCTAAGGAAAGCTACAGTAGCTCATTGGGGATTTCCAAACGTTAAGAGGATAGCAGCAACAGCAGATGGTCAGTCTTGAGGGTCAGCTGTCTGACTGCTCAGAGAAGGAAAATTTCTGCAGATGACTTGCTAGTTAGGTTTCTAGGACCAGCCAGAAAGGAAGGCGGCTGCTGAGATTCTCAAATAAGAGAATCTTTTTGCCTAAATGCTTAAATAAGAAGATATTTTTCATTATCCCAAAGCATTTAAGTTCTCTTTCCTGCTCTTCTTCTTGGACACAGGTTCTTTTTTTGAAACTCATCCAAAGTGCTTAAGATCTGGCAGCTCTGTCTTCTGATACTTATCCAAACTAATTTCATGTAGACGTCAGGCTAGCAGTGCAGATCATGCTTGCCAAAATCTATAGGTCTCTATATCCTTTTTCCCTCTCTAGAAAGCAGGGTTTGGGGTGGGAGTGGGGGAAGGGAGTCACAGGAAAAGGATGTTCCTGAGTACATACACCTTTGTCTAGATACCATAAATGCCTTTCTGTCCCCAAACCGCAGATGGCGTTCCATGTTCTCAGAATCCAACAGTTGCCATAGAAACCTGGATCAACTTCAACAAGGAGGAACGAGCGGGCTTTTCGGAGACACTGCGGTCGAGTCTGAAGGTATAAAAAGCTCTTCTGTACCGGGGTTGGTGCAGCACTTGCTGGTTTCACACTTCCCAAGGCAGGGTATTCTGCTCACAGGTGTGACTTGAAAGTCCCAAAACACAAATGCCATTGAAATCTGTGGTGCTGTGTGAGGAATACTTTCATTGTCGCAGATAGTAACCCCACTGACAGCTTTTTTTAATATAACCTGAGGTTGCTTTCAGTAGTGATTGGAGCAATGCCACAAATAACTTATTTCACGAGATGCTCAGTTACCAGAGAGACCATTCAGAAATCCTAATTGAGCATTCCCCTCATAACTCTACTCCCTCACTGATGTAATCGGCCCTTACCTAAACCACAGACGCTTGAGTTCCAGTGAAGTCTGTTGCTGTTTTGCTATGTCAGATATGACTGGTGTATTGAAAAGACTTTGAGGCTCTGAATCCCAAAGCTGTTGGGTGGCAGGACTTGGGAAGCAGATCACACACCTCAGGCCCACAGGTGGGTCCTAAGCTGAAAAATTGTGTCTTGGGCATCGCTGCTGTTTGTGTAAACAGGTCAAGTTTTGCTGACGCACTCCTTCTTTCTCTCAGGTGATAGGAGAAAATGTTCACATCTACCTGATTGGAAAGGAGTCATCACGTACACATTCACTGGCTGTCTCTCTGCATTGTGCTGATGATGACTCCATAAGCGTGAGTGGCCAGAACAGCCTGTGTCACCAGATCACCGCAGCCTGCAAACACGGCAGTGACCTGTATGTTGTCGGTGGCTCCATTCCACGACGCATGTGGAAATGCAACAATGCAACCATAGACTGGGAATGGTGTGCTCCTCTACCCCGTGACAGGCTCCAGCACACCCTCGTCTCTGTGCCAAGCAAGGATGCAATATATTCACTGGGGGGGAAAACTCTGCAGGACACTCTCTCTAATGCTGTCATATATTACAGAGTACGAGACAATGTCTGGACAGAGACCAGCCAGTTGGAAGTGGCAGTTTCTGGAGCTGCAGGTGTAAACCTTAATGGTGTCATTTACCTGCTGGGTGGGGAGGAAAATGACTTGGACTTCTTCACCAAGCCCTCTCGGCTAATTCAGTGCTATGACACCAACACAGAGAAATGCCATGTGAAGCCATATGTACTGCCTTTTGCAGGCCGCATGCATGCTGCTGTACACAAGGATGTGGTGTTCATTGTAGCTGAGGGGGATTCACTGCTGTGCTATAATCCCCTTCTGGATAGCTTTACCCGGCTATGCCTGCCAGATGCCTGGAGCTCAGTACCATCCCTCTGGAAAATCGCCAGCTGCAATGGCAGCATCTATGTCTTTCGTGATCGTTATAAAAAGGGTGACGCAAATACTTTTAAACTCAACCCAGCCACCTCTGTTGTAACAGTCACAAGTGGCATCAAAGTGCTGCTCACTAACCTGCAGTTTGTCTTGGCCTGAGCAGGAAAAACAGGCCCAGTGATAGAAAGGGCAGCAATGGTATTCTGCTGGGCAGCTCAGAGGCACCTACCACACTCGGCACCAGTCCCAATTACTATGAGTTCACAACATCCAGTAAAGACCCCATCCTCTATAGTGTGCAGAGGAAGTACAGGCTTTCTGGTTGTGGGCCTCTTCTGTTACATAGCACTGTTAAAGTTGAACGGCTGCATCTTAGATTTCAGATGGACTAAATGCTATTACTTTGATCCTTTGATGATAAGCTGCTTGTGTTTGAGGCCCAAACGGCAGCAAGCAGCCTTTTTAGCCAGGAACCAATCTGCCAATAACAAATCCTATGGCATGTGGACAATGTCTTCCTTGGCCTAGACTGCTGGTTTTAACTGCCTGTGTGCTGCCATGTCAGTCACAGACGCCCACTGTGTCCTCCAGGGATGTCCCCATTTAAGCATTCCTCCCTATTTCAGAAGGAGGGACTGCAGAAATATTTACAGCAGATACCAGAGCTGACTCCAGGTAGGTTTCATTATTCAGCACTTCTCCTAGAGGAGTGGTAACAAACTGGTAACTTGCTTACTGCTCTGTCATCACCTAGCATAAAGACAAATGTTTTTTATGATCACTGGTGTCCTTTATTGTACAGGGAATCCCAACCTCTAATGATAATGTAGTGTTGATTAAAGACAGAATTAAGACCACTTCCTCATACCCCTCTGTTGGCACTGTAACCCTTTGGGTAGGAATCTGAATAAAGTCTCTGCTGAGACAAAGTTTCCTATTCCTTTGCTGCAAATACAGAACTTCCTGTGGATTGCAGGTCAGCTCAGCACTGACACTGTGTGTGGGAGAGAACTGTGGGGCTCCAAGAGAATGAAGGTATTTGCCATAAGGAAAGAAGGCTTTCATGAAACTTTACTGTAATATATGTAAAAACTTTATTGGTGGTCAAGAAGTTCAATGCATAAATCATTAAAACGTAAGTTTCTTTTAAAGCAATCAAACCAGAGATTTTGGTAGATCTTACTGACACTATGAAGTTGTCCCAGCAATCACATTCCTGTGAAATGCCTCCAGGACCTGGACTTGCTTGTGCCGAATGAGGATGTGGGGACGGATCTTGGCAATAGCCTCTACTGCTTCCTGAGGGCTCCAGTGATGCAGCTGAAAAGGCAGAAACCCTGCAAGTGAAAATACACTCCCTCCCTGCATAAGTTAATGGAGCTTTTCTGGAGGCTACAGGCAACACTAGAGTTGTTTGAAAAGTTGCTGCTTTGACCCTTCTGTTTACTTCATGTTCCTCACAGAGGGGACTGAACATCAATGCAAGTTCATGAAATAAGTCAGTTAAAAAGAGACCGTACAGGAACCCAGAAAACCAAATTCACTTCTCTTAATCCTGATTTCTATTTATTGAAAAGCTTAGAAAGGTTCACCATTTCAGCTAACCAAGGAGAAAATCTGAACAAAAATTGATGTTTATCTGCTCAGTGAACCTACCCTCACAAGTGACTTGCTATTCTCATCTCAATCTGTTCCTCCATAGAATTAGGAACAGAAGTACCATTCAAAATCTCCATTTGCTGCATTCTACAAATCATCAGTCCAAGTCTGGACATCTAAACTGGGCCTCCAGTCCAAACTATAAAATCATGGTACCTAGAGGGGAGGGAAGAAATGTAGTATGTATAGGGCTGTACATACACATGTGCCTGTGTGTCTGTGTACACATGTAATTGAGCACCTCTCTTATGAGGAAAGGCTGAGAGAGTTGGGGTTGTTCAGCCTGGAGAAGACAAGACTCAGGAGATCTTATTGCGGCCTTTCAGTTCTTAAAAGGGGCCTATAAGAAAGGTGGGGAGAGACTTTTTTAGCAGGTCCTGTTAGGATGAGGGATGATGGTTTGAAACTAAAAGGAGATTCAGGCTGGATGTGAAGAAGAAATTCTTTACAATGAGGGTGGTAAAATCCTGGCACAGACTGCACAGAGAGATGGTGGATGCACCATCCCTGGATGTGGTTGGGCTGGATGTGGTTCTGGGCAACCTGATACAGATGAAGATGCCCTTGCTCATTGCAGGGGGGCTGGAACTAGATGACCTTTGAAAGTCCCTTCCAACCCAAACTGTTCTAGGATTCTATGGAACATTAATGCACCTGCTTATTAATGGTCAGGCTTATTAAGCAAAAGCAAACTGTAATGGTTGGCTGTATTTGCTGAGACTGTACAAAAATAAACCCCATTTAGCACTGAATACTTCTTACTTGAATTAAATATGCTGCCACCATGGTGGCACTGCGGGAGCGTCCCGCCTTGCAGTGCACATAGACACTGTGACCACACGCTCGGTGTTTCAGAATGAATTCAACACCCTTGTGGAGGTTTTCCAAGGTGGGGACGCCAGTTAGATCCACGGTGCTGAGACGCAGTTGCTCCACTCCCATTGCCTCCCATTCCTGAAATGGACATAGCAGTTAATTTGGGGGGGGGGGGGGGGGGGTGGTTGGTTGTTTTTAGTTCCAGAAAGAAAATCCAGAACCTGTTGAGACAGTTGGGAAATTCAGTAGGGTTGTAAGCAGACTTTGAATATCAATACAAACCATTCCATAAAATAGAACCACTCTGTGTATGGCTCTATGAATCCTTTAAATCAGATGTATGAAAACTTCAGTGCTAGCTATCAGAAAGGAGAAGTTAAAGGGAACTGAAAAGGTGTGGTTCAGCTGAAGGAAAGGTGTTCTTGTACGTGCACAGTGATGTACATACATTCAGTGCTGCCCTTCCCTCTCCGCCGCTGCATCTCTAATACTTCCCTTCCATCCTTTTTACCGGCCTCTCGCACAGTGTTAGAAGTTGGCTTAGGTACGAAGAAACCTCGTCTTCGCTGTCAGGATCCCGGCTAAAGCCTCGCCAGCGCCGGGACGGGCGGACCGGCAAGAGACCCTGAGGGACACGGGCAGCTCCTGGGCTCACCTGTGCGGAGCAGCAGAGGAAGCGGGTCTCGTACTCCTCATTGAGGGTGACTACGGCGCGCACGTTCTCCTCGGCCACCAGCTACGGGCACAGGCACCGTCAAGCTCCGCCGGTCCCCCGCGGCCCGGCCCGCCCCGGCGCGCCCGCCTTACCCTGCGGCTGCGTCCCCGCAGCGGCAGCGCCCCCAGCAGCACGGCGCCGTCGATGCGGTGGAACCAGGGCCGGCGGGACCCGGGCAGCTGCGCCCGCGCCGCCGTGTACAGCAGCGTCGGGTAGAAGAGCAGCCGCGCCGCGCCGGCGCCCAGCGCCTCCGCCAGCACCATCGCGGGCAGCGCAGCGCAGCGCCCCGCCGCGCCGGCTGAGGGGCGGGCGAGCGCACTGAGCGTGAGGAAGCGGGGGAGCCTGCAGCCGGAATGAGGCGGTGTCGGGCGGGGCAAGGAGTGCAAGGTCGGTAGGAGGGGGTGGCGGGCGCACAACTCCGACCCCTCCACCTCGATCCAGCTGTGGTCTCTCCCGGAAGCGCCGCCATCTTGCGGAGCCGGCCTGAGGCGGCGCAGGGAGCGGAGCGGGACGCGAGTGGATCCCCGGGGGCAGGTGAGGGCGGCGGCCGCCAGGAGGAGCTCGGGCCGGGCCGGGCAGGGACAGCGCTCAGCCGAGCCCAGCCGAGCCCGCGGAGACTGCGATTCCATCGCGCAGGTAACGGCTCTTCTCCTTCTTACCCCGTTCCCCGGGAGTCCCGCCGTGAGGCCACCCGTGCCGGGCCGCAGCGGCAGCCTCTGCGGCAGGCGCCTCGGTCCCGCCCGCTCGCCTCTCCCCTATCCCTGACGCGGAGGGGCAGAGGTCCGGCGGGGCGCTGCCGCCCTGTGTGTGCCACCCCGAGTGGGGTGGTGGCCGCCCCTCCGGGGCCCGGAACCGGAGGCCTCCGGTTGTATCTGATCCCAGCGCTGACAGCGCCTCGGGCGCCGCCGGGGCGCGCTGCGGCGGCGGGGGGCGCTGCAGGTACGAGCGCAGTCCGAGGTGGTGTCGCCATTGGGGCGGGGGAGGCGCGGGTGCTGCGGCGGGCCCTAGCGGGCCTTGGGGCAGGGGGGAGGCTCCCCCGGGCTACGGCCGCTGTTAGCCCGCCGAGCTGGGTGGTTCGGGCGCTGGGGAGCGGCCAGGGGTTTAATCTCCAGTGCGGTTACATGCTGTTGGGGGCACGTAAGAGGTCTGTCTTTTGGACTTGTGAAACGTTTGCTGGCATGCGAGGCAATTCGGGCGTGCGAGAAGCACAAGCAGGGGAATTGAAGTTCAGCACAGTGTGAAGATTTGCAGTCTCAAGCGTGAGAAGGCGTGACGGACCCCACGGGAGTAAAATAAAAAATATATAAACCAGGAGAGACAGAACGTAAAATGAATGATAAATACGTGAAGAAGCAGGGAAGGTTGATAGCAGCATGAGTTTTTTATAGGGCTGCTCATGAATAGGTAGTTGAGAGGCAGCATTATAATAAAGCGTTAAACCTTCATTCCTATAAATTCCTAAAGAATTGTGGCCCAGCCGTTTTCACCCTTAAGACAGAGGCATTCTCTTCTGCCAGAAGTTGTCAGGGAGCATTTTTCAAATGTTGAAGCTTTCTTGTATGTCCTGCTTGAGCGCGGCCTTCAGGTGTGTTTCACGGGGAGTTTACCTGAGTCAGAAAAATTGGGGGGGGATTTATATCTTTGAAGTATGTTTTGCTTCTGGTTTGCAGGAGCTTGGACTTTCTGAGTATCTTAAATTTGTTTATTCTTAATTTCATTTCTCTGCGTGTCCTTCCAGTCTTTGTACTGGTGATAGTTGTTATATATTATGTCCTGGTGCCATTTGCTTTCTTCTGTATTCCTTTTCTTCAGATTAGTTCACGAGATAGATTTTGGTGTACTGACTTGGCATTGCATGTCTATAATGAACCCATCGGATTTTTTTTCCTTACCCTCAGCTATGTTGTTGGCAGCTCTGCATGAGATATTCTGTACTTCCTAGAGTTGTGTCTGGACCTAAGCCTTTAAGGAGCAGCTTTGTGGGAATACTACTGCTGTGGTAGATGCTTAAAAATTCTGCTTACATCTTTACACTGAGATAGGAAATGTGAAGGTTGGTGCAACTTGACTCCAAACTTTAATGTGTTCAGTTTCAATCCTGCAGATGAAAAGTCCGAAGGGCAGGAGCACAGATCTCACTATATCTGCTCAGGGACATAGGTGCAGATGTGTATACAAGTAAAATTCCTAAATAGGAATTTAAAAATACAATGAGATGAAGGATTATTTTTATTTTTGAAGATGATTAGTGTTCTCTTTCAGCATATGCTCACTTTCAATATTATTGCTGAAATTTATTCTTGGAAAGTATATGCTGTTTGTAGAGTGCGTTCACCCCTTCTGAGTCATCACTGTGTTCTTCCTTTCCCTCTCAAAGTTTCTGACGTTACATTAGAGAAAAATAAATCCTGGATCCTTCCTCCTTAGTTATGTGCTTTCCCTTACGTATCTGCTGCTTTTTTAATATGAAACAAAATAACAGATGCAGGCTTAGAAAGTTGTGTTAATATGCATAGAGATATGCAATAATTTTATATCTCATCAGTAATAAATCCATAATTTATGAGACTCCTTGCAAATACCCTTTACATCATTTGAAGAATCACTAGATGAAACTAATTCAGCAGGTCAAAGGAGGTGATCCTGCCCCTCTACTCTGCTCTCTTGAGACCTCACTTGGAATATTGTGTACAGTTCTGGTGTCCTTAACATAAAAAGGACATGGAACTGTTGGAGCAACTTCAGAGGAGGCCACGAGGATGATCAGGGGACTGGAGCACCTCCTGTATGAAGACAGGCTGAGAAAGTTGGGGCTGTTCAGCCTGGAGAAGAGAAGGCTGCGTGGAGACCTCCTAGCAGCCCTCCAGTATCTGAAGGGGGCCTATAAGGATGCTGGGGAGAGACTCTTCATTAGGGACTGTAGTGATAGGACAAGAGGTTACAGTTTAAAACTTAAACAGGGGAAGTTTAGATTGGATATAAGGTGGAAGATTTTTAAGGGTAGTGAGGCACTGGAATGAGTTGCCCAGGGAAGTTGTGAATGCTCCATTCCTGGCGGTCTTCAACACCAGGCTGGATGGAGGCTTGATAGACATGGTTTAGTGGGAGATGTCCCTGCCCATGGCAGGGGGGTTGGAACGTGATGATCTTAAGGTCCTTTCCAACCCTAACTATACTATGATTCTAAATTCATAGAATCATTCTTCTTCCTTATATCTAACCTGAACTTCCCATGTTTAGGGGGACCTGCTGTGGGGTCTCCACACAGCTTCTCTTCTCCAGGCTGAACAGCCCCACCTTTCTCAGCCTGTCTTTATACGGTAGGTGCTCCAGCCTCCTGATCATCCTCGTGGCCTCCTCTAGACTTGCTCCAACAGCTCCATGCCCTTTTTATGTTGAAGGCACAAGAAATTATGGCACTTGGACATAAGAGAAATATTTATAATACTGTGTGAATTTCCTTTTGAAATATTATGTTGCATTTCATAAAAAAATAGATGTTTATGCGAATCTTAAATATTTAGACTTGCATTTAGTTAAACCGGTGTCCAACTGAACTTAAGAAACTTTATTATGAGCAGGTTGGATGTTAACTATTTCTTGCAGCTTTTTCTGAAATGCAGTTATCAGTTACTGTGCTTCTTTATTTCGTCTGTTTGTCTTCTGGGTCTCCTGCCACAAGTTGCATCAGAGGGGCTGCTCTAATTTTTTCTTTCATGTTTCTTTAGGCAGGGTGGGAAGTGATATGCATTCTCCCTGGTTTTGAGATTTTCTGATTATTAGTCTCTAATTCTGGTATCTAGAAAGAACCCAGAGCTCTGGCTGTTGAAATACTGTTGCTCAGCACATATGTCCATGAGGCAGCCAGTTTTCCAAGTTATAATGTGAGTTTTGCACAGCATCAATCATCCAACAGACTCAGATTTCTATTTCTGCATTCTTATATATCAGTCTTCCCATGAATGTCTTAAATGTTTTATTTCAGTGTAGGCATGTTCAAGTATTGCTTCTTGTCCTTTAGTTTATCATTCCTCAAGACTATGTGCAGAGTTATTCACTGCCTTGGTAACTGCCTTCAGGCAAGAAAGTATAATTTTTATCCATTGATCAGTTATTTGGCAGGAAAAAAGAAAAACAGTATGAAAGCAGGGCAAAACACGTCAGGGTTTAGTAGAACGGGAGTTGTACCTTTTCTCAGTTTATCTAGGTCCTCTAATGGGTATTTCTCCTAAAGTATCACAACACTATATCTTGAGTTGTGATCTTGTAACAAGATTTCTTGAGGCAAGAGAGATGATAATGATTGGAGAAAAGTGACCAGTAGTTTTATTGTCCTTCCTCCTGTCATTAGAGATCCTTGTGTTACATGAAAAAAAAATGCAGGATACCACCTTTTCTGCTGTTTCTGTCTACACGTACTTTAGATTGTCCTGTCCAGACACTTTATGTTTAACACTGAAAAGAAAGTGCTTTAGCATTCACATTTTCAAGAGATTTCCCAAACGTGAGCTGAGTATCATCCTGTTTGTACCTGATGTGACATTCAAGTATGTAAAGCTAAAATATGCATTAGGTCAAAGCAGGAAATGTGGATAGAGCAAGGGAGAAAATGTAAACTACTTTAAAGCTGCAGTGCAAATTAGTCTGCAAAGGCTTTGCTGTAGGGATGAATAGCTCACAAGTCTGAACTGTGATAAACAGAGCAGGCTTATTTGTTTGACCGTAATGTAGTACAGCACAGTCATCATCCCAGGTAGAGGAAGTCTTCTTCCTGACATCTTGAGTAGCATAAAACTTCCAGCCATCTTAGCTCTGTGCATTTTAAAAGAGAATTGTTGCTAACTGAATTTGGGATGAACAGTGAGCAATTAGATAACTGAACAGAAGTCTTTAGAGGTCTTCAACTATTAGTGAAGAATTTCAGTTTAGGTGATACAGTTTGTGACACAGGTATACATGTGTGAAAGCTTTATGCCAGAAATAGAATCATCCTCTACAAGCTGTCTTCTCTGTCACTTGTATGCATATTGTCCTTCAGTGTTCTTGGTATCTCATGGTCTGTTTCTTTGTTTCATTTTTAGGAAGGATATGCTGGTTAATTGGCTGCTCTGTTAAGAGGCAGGGTACTGGTGGAAAACTGACAAACTGCATGTTTTGGTAATGAGTCTGTTGATTTAGAGTGGATTTATAACTGATCTAATGATGTGGATTGCAGTGGTGAAGTTTGAGGAAAACCAGGATTATATAAACTGGTCTTAAAATCATATCTCTGGGGGATTTTCACACTGGTTTAACTAAATTACTTGTAAATGTAACTTGGAATAACTGGCTTAGATACTGCCGAAATTCGTGCCAAAT